TGCTGGTGCCAGAGCTTCCAGTGAGCGCTGACCCAGCTGGCCGTGCCGCCCCGCAGGCAGGGCTGTCAGTGCAGCCATGCAGGCAACAGGGTGACGCTGGCTGGGAGAATGAGGTGATCATTGTGCTGGGAACATGAGGCACCTGGGAGACACCCAGGCTGGGATCCTGGGGACAAGGTGGGTGGGAGCGGGCAGAGGTGCTGGTGCACGTGATTGTGTGCGTGGGGATGGTGCACGTGGGTGCACATTGTTGGGCGCCATATGATGAGGGGGTTGATTATAGAATCCTAGAATGTCTGAGGTTGGAAGGCATCTTGGAGCTCATCTTATCCATGGGCAGGGACGTCCTTAACCAGCCCAGGTTGCTCCAGGTTCATCCAACCTGGCCTTGACCATCTCCAGGGAGGGGGCAGCCACAGCCTCTCTGGGCAATCTAGTCCAGAGGCTTGCCCCCCCTCCACTCTCTGGGCAATCTAGTCCAGAGTCTTGCCCCCCTCATAGTGAAGAATTTCTGCCTCAGATCCAATCTAAACCCGTTCTCCTTCAGTTTAAACCCATTTCCCTTGTCCTGTCGCTGGACACTCTTGTCCAAAGTCCCTCCCCAGCCTCCCTGTAGGTCCCTTCAGGTATTGGAAGGCAGTGATAAGGTCCCCCCAGGACATTTTGGAAATCAAAAGGGGAGTAAGAACAAGTCAAGTTCAGCGGATTTATGTCTCCTGTGCTCTCCTGCAGTGCCCAAATGAGGTCGGATCGAAGGGCACAACGAAGAGCAAGGTAGGTCTGGGCTGGGGCTGTGGGGTGGAGGGAGGGTGAGTCACTTCATCAGTGACGGAGAGGGTTGAGTGTCCTGGATTAGGCCTTGTCACCCGCTGATGGAGCCCCAGCTCAGGTCTTCCTTACCCCATGGCTGGAGATGTGCTGGTGGGGTGGGATGCTGCAGAGCCTGACGGAAACCCACCCCTTGCATGATGGAGGGCTGTCAATATGGCCAGGAGGATGAAGATGCGTGCAGGGACGGGTGTGCCTGGCAGACGCAGGGCTGGCAGAGCCCTGATTCGCAAGCAGAGCTCGGAGACCTGCAGCACCAGGGGTTGGATGTGCTCCCAGAGGACTTAGATCTTGTTCTTTTACCTCAGGTCGATGCTGCTGCTGCTGTGCGGTAGCTTGGCACATGCAAAGCTCCTGGCCATGGCCTCTGCTTCTGCTGGTTTGCCCCCTCCGGCAGTGCTCTGGGGGGGCCTGCACCTCAGCCCGCCCTGGCATGGTCCTCTCTGAATATGTCCTTAGCTGTGACAATAAAACGAGCCCATCTGAGGGGCTTTGGTCTTAATTAAAAAAAAAACAACAACAAACCACTCTGTCATGCTTGGTGTGGGTTTGGCTTGGGTGTGGGGAGGTAGCAGAGAGAGAGCTGCCAGGGATGCTAGAGGTTCTGTGGCTGGAGGAGATGGTTTTGAAATTGGAAAGAAAGGACCAGCTGTATAAAATACGTATGAAGTTGACTAAGCCAGAAGCAAGCCAGCAAGGAGGAGGAGAATGGGGAAAAAGTTTCCTTCTGGAGCTGAAGAGTGATTCTGGTTGGGGGCGGGGCTGAAAGAAACAACAACATTGACACTATGGCGTGAATGATGCTGCTTCATCAAAGCACAATTTCTTTACCCGTGCCAGTGATCCAGCCAGCATCACCTCCCCATGGCATGAGACGGCGGCGGGGGCAGGACGCGCCGATGTGTTATTCTC